ACGTGTGTGTGTGTGTGTGTGTGTGTGTGTGTGTGTGTGTGTGTGTGTGTGTGTGTGTGTTGGGGAAGGTGGCTTAACCAATGGAGGAGTCGGGAGCCCCTGTGGCCGCAGCCCTGCCAAGTTTGCGTTGCTTCTTCTGCAAAGGCTCCAGTCCAGTTTTTTCAGGAGATCTCTCTCCCCATCTGCCCTCCCCAACCTTAGGGCAGGTGAGTTGTCCAATCAGATGGTCCTTGCCAGGTACCAGTCTTATTTGTACTGCTCTCCGGCGAGCCAGCCTGGATTTGTGTACCGGGGTGTGAGTGTACGTCTTGCGGGAGCCCCCCCGCCTCCAAAGCAACCCAGCCTGCCTGCAGGACTCTGCTCTCCTCTCTGCAAGGGACAAGTTTGCCTGGATCGCAGCTCCCTGGCTGCTCTCACCTCGCTGGGAAAGACGCGCTTACCTGCTTGCACTTCCTGGGCTGGGGGGTGGGGGGGTGGGGGGCAGAGTTGTGTGTGTGTTTCGGGGGGGGTCTTTTGCACACACACACACACGAGGCACAACCGCCTCCAAAGAGCTCACTCCAGACCAAACCATGTTCCAGCCAGCAGCTAAGCGGTGCTTCACCATCGAGTCGCTGGTGGCGAAGGACAATCACTTGGCTTCAGAGGATCCCATCCGACCTACAGCCCTCAACTACCCCAACCCTTCCGCGGCCGAGGCGTTTGTTAATGGCTTTCACAGCGCGGCAGCCGGCAGGTCCCTGTACAGCAGCCCGGAGCTGGTCTTCCCAGAGGCCGTGAGCCACCCCTCCTTGAGCGTTCACCCGCACCAGCTGGGCGCGTCCCAGCTCCAGCACCCGCACTCCTTCTTCGCCCCCCAGCACAGAGACCCCCTCAACTTCTACCCCTGGGTGCTGAGGAACAGGTTCTTCGGGCACCGCTTTCAAGGTAAATCAGGAATCGCCAGCCTCGGGAAGGGAGGGGATTTCCCTGGCTTGTCGCTGCCCCTGTCCTTTGCCTTGTCCCTTCCCCTTCAAAACGCATCGACAGCTCTACCGGGCAAACCAGCCAGCCACTTCCCTTAGCTTGGGTCCAAGAAATAGTGGGGCCATGCAGGTGTGTGCTGGACATGTGTAGATCCAGGCGTATTCCCACACATGCGAAATGCAAGGGAAGAGTTTTAGTGCATTGAACAATTTCTTGCTGTTGCTTTCTTCTTGCATTCAGCATGCTATATTTATCTATCTATCTATCTATCTATCCCCATCCACCCCATCATCTATCTATCTATCTATCTATCTATCTATCTATCTATCTATCTATCTATCTATCTATCTATCTATCCTCTTTGCAATGTTGTAGCCCTCTTGGTCCCAAGATATAAGAGAACCACCGTGGGTGAGGTAATGTCTTTTAAAGAAACAAGGAGGAGTCCGGCTGACTAACAGATTTATTTGGGAATAAGCTTTTGTGGGTAAAACCCCCACTTCTTCAGATGCATGGAGTAAAAAGCAATTGCTACAAAAGCAATGTTCCCTCTCTTGGTATTGACATCTCCTCATCTATTATTGGGAGTGGACCACATCCACCCTGACTGAATTGGCCTTGTCAACACTGGTTCTCCACTTGTGAGGTAACTCCCTTCTCTTCATGTGTCAGTATAATAATGCCTGTATCTGTAATTTTCACTCCATGCGTCTGAAGAAGTGGGGTTTTTACCCACGAAAGCTTATGCCCAAATAAATCTGTGAGTCTTTAAGGTGCCACCGGACTCCTCCTTGTTTTTGTGGATACAGACTAACACCGCTACCCCTCTGAGACTTGTCTTTTAAAAGACCAACTTCTGTTGGTGGCAGAGACAAGCTTTCAAGCTACAGACTTCTTCTGAAGCAGCTTGCACACATATGCACGTCTACACAAATGCATACATATATATATATGTGTGTGTGTGTATATATATAATTGTATTGCATGCATATACTGCTTGTGTATTGTCGTGTATATTCTGAAGAAGAGCTCCGTGTAGCTCTCATCCATCAACAGTAGTTAGTCCATTAAAATATATATTACCTCACCCACCTTCTATCTATCTATCTATCTATCTATCTATCTATCTATCTATCTATCTATCTATCTATCTATCTATCTATC